CGTCACTCCTGTCAACGAGGATGATATCTTGGCGCCACCTATGAGCAGCGACTCGGAGGAGGGTGGTGACATGTGGCCCGATATTCATACCTTGGCGAAACGACGACGTCGCCCTTCAGCCACAACTCCGGTTCGAGCTGATCATTTCTCTGATATGTCCTCGCCGCCCTCTTTGACGCACTCACCCAATTACACCGAATCAAAAGCCCCCAAGACAAGAGGCCGTGCCGCAGCTAGGCGGCAGCCTTCCCCAGAGATCACCACGGCGGATCTCACAAGCATGTTGCCAAAGCGCCGGTATAGGAAAGCGCATGACGACCCCTTTGGCCTCGAAAGCGACGGAGAGCATGATACCACAGACATGCCAGGCGGCGAGGATGAGTTGTCATATGTGGACAGCAGGGCTTCACGAAGGAGACATGGCAGCCGACCGCCAAGCCGCGCAACATCAGCGAGGCCGGGTTCGCGAGGTGGTCGTGCAGCACACTCGGCTCTGAAGCCAAGACAGACGCCCGCGTCTACTCGGCCCGTGTCACGGCATCCCCGGACGTATGCCCCTAGGTCCTCTGATAAGGAGAATGAGAGTGAAGACGACGAACATGAGGAGAGCCGCTTCGAACCCCTCCCAGATGACACGTTTGATACTGGAGACAGCCAGACCTATGATACCCCGTCGGCTGATGAGCTGAAGCAGGCAGCCAAAAAGTTTGTCGAGGTGGACAAATGGGAACTCGAGTACGAGGAGATCACCCAAAGCTCGTCGCCGCAGGGGGCACGATGAGAGGACAAGAGGGCCGGTGGGAAGGTGGTGGTTTGGCGTTGTGTCGCATAGGGTAGGGCCGCAGTCCATTGGAGTTTTGGGGTTCATGAGCTTGAATGATGGTTTTTGCACGTGCCAAGACGTTGGGAACAAGTCCTATTTGGACAACCCTGGGGTTCATTCCGACATGTCTTCTGGCATTAATTCAAAATACACTTAGTCTACCATAGGATTTATCTCTTTGCCCCTTTCGCGGGTCAAGAATTCAATTCAAGCATATCCGGAACGCCATTGTACCTTGCAATGCAGCATCTTAAAACAGTTGTCGTAGACTCAGCCTCTCCAGGCCTTCAGGTTGACAGCCTCTCTTCGTTGTTCCACAAAGGGCAGCAAGGGAGCAAGTAGATTGGGGTCTCTCAGCGCAATGGTGATGTCGTCTGGTAGTCTTCCCGACATGAATAGTTTCTGTGTTTCGAGAGTTAAAAACGCGAAATCCTGAATCGATGACTGCGAATACACTTAGAGTTGGACTTACCCGCTTGACGTTGTCAAAAGTGTCTTCCTGGGCTGTGTACTCGCGGATGACCTCGTCGGTCTCAAAGTCAACGTAGACTCGGGTGTCGCGGACGCGGACGATGACGTTGTCGAGACGCATGAACAGGCGGCAGAGCAGCAACATGCGCTTGTCATGGACGCGGACCTTGACGCTGAAGATGGAAATGCCATTGTCGTCGAGCTCACTCTCGTACAGCATGACGTCGTCAAAAAACAGAATCGGGTCCCGGCGCTTCAGCAGCTCGATTGGAATCGGTGTCTCGGAAAGCTGAAACTCCTTCTCGGCAGCTGGATCCAAGGTGCCGGTGTAGTCGGTGGAGTAGCTCCAGTCGTAGGGCTTGACGACTTCCTTGATGCCCTGGGTGGTGCTCTCGCGGGTGCTCTCCCAGTCGCGGGCGTAGGCGACTTTGAGCATCTGGCGATCGGTCTTGTCGACGGCGTCCAGGGCGTCCGGGGTGGTGAAGGCGAGCGACCAGCCCGAGGGCACGTGGGTGATTGCGACGAGATTGTCGCCGAAGATCATCTCGGGCATGGGGATGCCGACGCGCTCGGTGAGGTCGTCGATGATGCCAGCCTTGGAGATGGGCAGCTTGCGCGTTGAGATGCGGAAGTTGTGCTGCGAGTGCGTCGTAGTGCCGGCTGCGAGGACCTGCGGTGTCGACGAGGGCGCGTTCATTGATGCCATCTTTGGGGTTTGGCGCGGATAGGCGAGTCTATTTGCGTACGGACAAGGAATGGATACCGGTGAGGTCGAGGATGTGGCCGTTTCAAGGTACGCTAGTAGGTTGTTTCGAAGTTGAGAAGTTGAAGCTCTCCTAGGTACTACGTAGGGTTGCAAGAAGAATAGTAGTGGGGTTGGTTGGTGGGGGAGCTCCGAAACTGCTCCCAACGTGGGAAAGGCCAAGGCCGTAATTAGAACTACCCCGCTAAAGTTAAGAGAAAGCTGATATTAAGAAATGTAAGTAACTAAGTGGGTGAGGAACTAAAGTAAGTGAATGATTGATTGATCAAGTAAAAAAAAATTATCTCTTGTTGAAACAAATTTTGAAACAATCCTTTGCTTTCACCTCTGGACAGATGCTATTCCGAAGACCCAGAGCTGCCAGAATCTTCCGACCAAGAGTCGTTGCGGAGAGCTTGAAAACCACCGACCCAACGTGACCGAAACAAGCTGTTGGCAGCCCGCCGCTTTAAAGACCTCCAGGTACAATGTATCAGGGTAAAGTTTAACCACAATGACAAAGCTTGGAAGAGGCTTTCTTTTTACGCCCTAGGGAGTCATCGAGTTAACCACGACGGTCTGCCCGTGGTTCATAGTGCTATCAATGGAGTTCGTTACAAGTTGGGACATGCAACATGGACTTTGGCCCTCAAGGAAACTTGTCGTAAAGTTGGGACGCGAAATATGGCAAACTTAGCTTCTGGCAACTACCAAGGGCTCCGTAGTATCCTATAAGAAAGGCACAGTCTCCCTGTTTATCCCAGAAAGTTTCTTTCCAGCCTACAACATTGTCTCCTGATTCTGGAGTACCCCTTGCAAGATCCCTCTCATCTAAGGTTACGACAAACAGTCAACTCTATAAGCCATTGGACAAACCTATCTTCAATCGATCACCAGAGACCTGTCTCTAATCAATAACTAGAAGCCGGTCTCCAATCCATCACAAGAAACTTATCTCCAATCAATAGCCTGAAACTGTCAAGATGAACGGGTCAACTCATGGAAAGCCAATCCAATACTTTGGGTCTCTTAGCGATGAGGCCAAGCTCCTTCTTAAATGGTGTCCGATTGACTGGTGCATGTCCTTCATCTACAACACAGGCTATATCGCTTGCACTGAGCATTGCTGCAACAACAATGACGACGAAACTCGGTCACCCGAAACACTTTTCATCCCGCATTTCAATCCTTCAGCCTTACCCGCCAAGCGTGTCAATGCCTCTACCAAACTGATCCAATGGTTCATCCCAGATAGCACCAGAGCCCCGAAGACGGATGACACCAAGGATGTTGTCATTCTTGAAGACGTCGACGAACCTCTTTCCGATTTCTGGGCGGCAAAGATGTTGGATGATCACCGAGGGAAAGATGTGAGCGACATAATCGACATGGACCTTTCAACTCTACCCCCAGCCCAGCTCCACCAAGTCATGGCGCTACGCAATGAGTATCTGAGGCATCGCATGAACCAAACCAGACATCCAGCTGTGGCCGATCGGACTGGACATCTCACGGAAAAGCGAAACTTCACTCGCCACTTCATGGAGAAATACGTTCTCTTTTCCCTGCCGCTAGCCTGGCTTGCCGACACCGCCTTCTGGAGCCGTCCCGCCAAAGGCTTCGATGAGCTGTCTAAGGCATACCTCGCATGGCGCAAGATCTGGTTCACCTTTGTCTTCCGCCAGGGTGCCGAGCCCATCAGCCCGAGGCTTGAGTTGCTTGAGTCCAGCATTCAACACATCCTCCCCATCCTAAACCTTTGGGGCGATGTCCGAAACGACTACAACCTCTACCATTATGGGGAGCTGACCCGCAGGGATCTGCGCTACACCTACGAGCAGGAGCCCGACGCCCTCCATTATCTCCTAGCCAACAATAGTATCTGGAAGGAAGAGTGTCTGATACTCGACAACTACGTTGGACTTCGCCGTGAGATGAACCGCGACCATTTTCACCTGGCCAAGCGGGCGGCCCAGCGAGCGGGAACAGCCATGGACAACCTCCTGCAGGCCGAGGCAAATATGAAGGCAGACAAAGACAAATCAAAAGAATCCGCAAACAAGTTCGCTCGGCAGAAGATGCTTTACATTGCCAAGTCGCGGTTCTTGGAGATTGAAGCTGCCTATCTTGGCCACCCGATTCCTGGAGGCCCAGAGACGCAGCAAACCCCAAACCCTTAACCCTAGCTTCTTAAGGGTGTCCCCTCCCTTAATCCACGATATTTATTATAAAATCCGTCAATCGACTTGTCACTTAGTCACATTAATTGTGCGATGGCAGAGAAGATTTTGTATCTTCATTGGAAGATAGTGTTGGTTTTTTTCCATAAGCTGGCTTTGCTCTGGTGAAGCGGCGGTTGGTGCTGCCATCCTGGACTGGGACTTGAGTAGGGCAGAACATAGAAAAATGGTGGTGTGAGCGTTGGATCTGATGCATCAACATTTACGCAACTTTAGGGCACCTGGCGATTCTCTTAGGTACTGTAAGAATAGTCATAGTTAAATACGGTGACTTAAAAAAAACAAAAAACAAAAAAAAACCTCGGCTCATAAATGCTAGACAGCGGCGCATCAATCCCTCCAATACTATTGAGAAGTTCTCTATGCTCCCTTGGATATCGCCAAAGAAGGCGGGCCTCACGAACTCCATCCGCAGAGAAAGGAGCGATTAATGTTTAAAAAATTGTAATCTGTTTACAGACCCAGTCTCAAACGCTGATCGCTGATCATAGGAGACCTTCTACTAGCATCGGAGAGTTCCTGAGCCTGTGCAAAGCGGTCTCCGCTAACGAAGTCTCCCCGTCGACTACTAATACATCGATACCAGCCTAGGGTTTTTGCCTGAGGAACTTCTTTCTACTGTTGACTCAGTATGTGTTAAGTAAGGAGAGAAGCTTGCAATGGCGAGAGTAAAAAGAAGTGCAAAAGAAAATTATGCAAAATATACAATACGGGCAAAAAGGGATGCTCATCCGGAGAATCGAACTCCGACCCCACGCTTGGAAGGCGTGGATCCTAACCATTAGACCAAATGAGCTGGGGATTTCATTGGCTGACGTCGAACCTACTTCTATTGATCTCACATGAGATTCAAGCTGACACTCATGCCTGAGTGCACCTCGCATGCCTTCCACTAAGCCCGAGTGTTGATTCAATTTTACACAACTAGATGCATTGTTTCCCATATTACATCGCAGTACAAAGGAGTTTCCTAGTGATCTATTTTATAAGTAGATAGTCTCTGGCATTTCTAGCTACTGTGATTATGAAATGGCCGCCTATATTGTCTCTAGCTCCTCGAGCGTCATCAGTTCCTCATGGACAAGGGTGTCCGAATTAATATCGTTTTCGCCTTGGGCTTTAGTTATTAGATTGCCAGCTCTTTTACTTAAAACCAAAACTTCAAGATAACCTGATTCATACCCTGCCTGAATATTGATAGCATAGAGGACGGGCCCTGATGTGGCTAGAATTGTAGTACTCTCGTGGTATGAATTAGTGTCTCTGCGCCTGCTCTGCCTTGGTGCGTGGCGTGCCCTTAACAGTGGTGCTATGCTAGGCTTCCTAAGGATCTCAGAGCTCCTTCCTATGCAGATGACTTTGAAGTGAGAGAACTATCAGCGCCAGTGGTAAAGTGGGATGGATATACTGGTGGGGGTGTCATACCAATCCGCTGAGAGGCATGATTTATAAATAAGCATTGATATGAAGTTTCGGTTCTCATCTAAAATAACAACTCCTTAGGGTACAGACTGAATCGATCTCTTCTCATTTTCACTGGTAGGTTTAGTGCGGGAGTGGCAGGTTCCTATGGTTACGAGTGTCTCCACTCGAGCTCGTGCAAGAGATGTCGGCCTTCTTTACAAAGGGCGCAAGGGGCCTGCGGGGGCGCAATTAGGATTTCTCCTATACTAGTACTACGTACGCTGAAGTATCAAAAGGCTCGTAAATAAGTGTTTCGGTGTTGTGATGGTGGCAACTGAGGCGCTTAGCATGGCTTGGCTTGATAAGTCATGTCGCACCAAGGGGCAGCGTTGCCCCGGCAACTAGATGACCCTAGTTGTTTGGCCGGTCGCGGGCCCAACTAACAACACCATGTCTAGTGCTCAGCAAGGCCAATTTGTATTTGAACCCTCCAAATCCAGACTCCCTCTAATTACTTCCTCCCAATCTCAAACTAACCCCAGCAGCCGTGTCACTTTCAGTCAGTCACGATGGCTACCCGTACTCTTGAGGCGCGCTTCGAGAATATGTCCGTCCACGACGGGAATGATCCTCTCGGCGATGGCACCAAGATCTACTCCAAGTCCAAGGTAAGAATGGCCTACCTCGTCGTCCATCACATTGATGAAATACTGACTGCAATAGGCCACTGTTGCCTCCGGATCGTCACAACCACCACACGGCGCCAGTCGACCGAACCTCTTCAAGGTGGCACTTCAATCGCAAAGCAGTAACACTGTCGTCACGCTGCCTTCACAAGCTGCCCAACGAAAAGCCGCACCCCCCGCGTCTCCTCCCAGGAAAGCACTTCCCAGTTCGTCATCCAGGGCCTCCGGCGAGGCATCTGAGGAGTACGCCGAGATAAAGCTCCCCACCTTGAACCAGCCGCCAAGTATGCCCAAGCAGTTCCACCTCGGCATGTTCGAGATTGGCCGGCCCCTGGGTAAAGGAAAGTTTGGGCGAGTGTATCTCGCGAGGGAGCGGACGACGGGCTTCATCTGCGCCCTCAAAGTTCTGCACAAGTATGAACTCAAGGGCGAGATCCCCAAGCAGGTCCGGAGAGAGATCGAGATCCAGAGCAACTTAAGGCATCCAAACGTGCTGAAACTCTTTGGTCACTTCCATGATAGCAAACGCATCTTCCTCATCCTAGAGTATGCCGGCAAGGGCGAACTGTACAAGCACCTGCGAAAGGAGAACCGCTTCCCCGAGTGGAAGGCGGCACAGTACATCGCTCAGATGGCCTCGGCTCTACGCTACCTCCACGGCAAGCACATTATTCACCGTGATATCAAGCCTGAGAACATCCTGGTTGGCATCCACGGGGAGATCAAGATTTCGGATTTCGGATGGAGTGTCCACGCTCCAGGCAACCGAAGAACCACCTTATGCGGAACCCTCGACTACCTCCCTCCAGAGATGATCAAGCCTGGAAATGCGCAAAACACGTACAACGACAAGGTTGACTTGTGGAGCTTGGGCGTCCTGACGTATGAGTTCTTGGTGGGCGAGGCACCGTTTGAGGACTCGGTCGTCCTCACTCATCGGAGGATTGCGCGCTGTGACATGACTGTTCCTTCATGGGTGAGCCCCGAGGCTACTGACCTCATCAAACGTGTAAGTACTCGATTCTCAGTGCCCTTGTGGAATCTCGATGACTAACAAACATTTAGCTCTTGGTGCTGGACCCCGAGAAGCGTATCTCCCTTGACCAGATTGCAGTTCACCCCTGGATTGTGAAGCACTGCGTCAAGAGCGGCGACAAGGCCACGGCCAACCGTGAGAAGGGATCATGACGATGTAATGACATGGCAAGAATTGGCCTACCTGGGGTTCAGGGCGTTCGTGGACATATTGGCATAATATTAAAGGAAACTGGGCGTGTGCATTCGGAGGGAGTACAAAGGTCTTTTTTGTGGATTCATTGAATAACAGTCAACCGAAATGAGAAGACTCTTTCAACATGTTATATGGGGGTATCGTTAAATGGCATTGGAGAGAGTAAGGAGAGAGGCTTCACGCTGCTCGTTTCAGCGCCCCTCGTCGAGTCTCTTTTCATTTTAATCAAACACGTCTTATACAAGGAGGGCGTATTCCATCACCGGTAGACCTCATCAAACGGTCGAGTGTCGGAGAAGCATGAGTCCCAGACTTGGTTGATGACCTTGCTGGCGTGCTGCTCGTCCTTGCAATGGGGGCGAGCCATGACAGATGCCACAGCCCTTCTCCGCACGCAGTTCTGGAACTGCTGCGTCAACTTCCAGTTTCCTCGAGTAAAGGCTTCCTTGGTCCATCTGCACTCTCCGCTGAGCATAGATGCGCGAATCTTAGCGAGCAAGCGGGTTAGCATCCATCCCACGGTTCAAGGATAAACGGAGCTGAAGAAACTACTTACCTCCGTGCAAGCGGCATGCTTCAGGTCCTTACCACCAGTCCAGTCTACTTTCCACCGCAGATGGTCCCATGCGTGTACCATCTCATGGGCCAGTGTGTCTTCCAAGTGCTTCCGGTCTCGCACCTCGTTGGCACACAGCAGGATGCCATGGTTTGGGCTGAAGCCGCCAGACTGGCGATGGACCTGGCCATCCTCCTCGAGGTGCGCCGGGCAGCGACGACAGACGACGTTGGAGCGGTCTAGCCGACCGTTGAGGTCTTCGATCTTTTCCGACATGAAGCGCACGACGGGGGAGTAGGCGAAGAGCCAGTCACGATAGTCCTCACAGCGCTTGCAGTCGCGCTCCTCATGGACGCGGTACCGCCACTCGCGGTAGTGGAATTGGCCTTCCGGGGTAATCTGGCCGGAGAGGATCTTGAAGTAGTTCATCCACCATTTCGTCTCGGGGTCGAAGCCGGTGCGGGCGGGGTCGTTGACGACGTGCTTGGGCGTGCTAAAGGAGGAGCTCGAGGCCTCCGCGGGCGCAGTCGAGGGAGTCGGAGCGGGTGGTGCTGGTAGTTCAGATGCCATGATTGCGACGTATCCCGAGGCTGTGAGGTTGGCCACAAAGTCGATGATCTTCGGTGTCGCTGGCGATTGTCTTGTCCCCACGCTACGGAATCGATTAATAGAATAGCAGGTTGTAATCGGCGCCGACACTGTGCGCCATTCGCCCTGCGTTCTGCACTTGGAGAATTCTGCCGCTCCAGGTTCGTCCCGCGTCCGAGGGCGGTGAGAGCCATTTACAGGGTGGGCGTCTAGGCCGACGCATCAGTATGCAGGTCAAGCAATGCGGCGGATTGTGGCTCGCGCGTGTTCGCCTAATAGACCGTTCGTTCTTCAATAAGGCATGGGATTCATTGACAAGTGCCTATCTGAAAGGGCCTATCTGATAATCTAAATTTTGATTGACATGGCTGCCAATTTTGTATCCCCAAAACGCCGCTCAAATGGACAAACACCCCAACGCCAGAAATGTCCTGGTATCTTGGTACGTTTCGACCGTCGACACTAACCAGTCGCAAACAGGTTGTCTTCGTCACGGAGGAATTCTCCACAATCCGCCTGCCTGAAACACACAATGCCGGTGGGATCCAGCCTCCGGGACTCAGCGGTGCTGCGCGAGGTGACGCCGAATCCGAGGGGAGTGTCGTTCATGCTATAGACGACGACGCCCTGGTGCTCGGGGCAGTCCTCGGACCAGCGGCCAACATGCGCCTTGAGCGTGTTACCTCCGTACAGGAAAGGCATTGTTCCGTTGTCCTTGACCCAGATCTTGTAACGGGCATGCTCGGAAATGACGGGCAGCGCGGTGATGTGCATTCGGAACTTGCCAGACTTTGTGAACTTGCCTAATGATGGGGCCAGGTTAGCCGAGGCCTGCGTACCGGGGTGCAATGCTTCGAATAGCTTACCAAGGCAAGTTCCTAGAGACAGAAGCTTCTCGCGGGCAATGGAGGTCGCGATGTTCGCGATGGAGAGGCGAACGTAGTAAACGCGGTCCTTGACAAGCCGGAAGACGTATCGGTCGGCATTGGGGGAGTCGTCGAGGGGAGCGATGAGATTCTTGAGAGAGTTGCCCGTGTATGTTGCGAGCTTCTCGAAGAGAACTTGTGTCTCTTTTTCTGTGAGGGGGCGCATCTTGTCTGGGGAGTGAGGACAATCTCGTGATGCTGGTTGTGATGGTGTTGAGCAAGCGGTTGTCGCTGGGTCTAGAAAAAAAAAAGTTGCCAGCCCAGAGCGCAGCAATCGATAAGGATCTGATCGGGAAGAGTGGAAGAGTGGGGTCAAACGGTGGCTGGCAGGACGCTGGACAAGAACGGACCTCCAGCCTCCAAAGCCCAAAAAGCAAATGCGCCAACGAGCAAGACAGACCACCT